CTATCAAAGGCAGATGCGCACCGCGCGCTACCGAGCCTTCTCTATCCATCTGAGGGCTTGATTGAATGCTGAATTTTTGAAGATACTGACACGGGGCGGCAAAAACAATACCGTCAAAAACAAGATATATGGCTCGGGCCCGAGTCGAACGGGCGGGTCTGCTGCAAGTTACGCTACTGGTTCTCTATTGAAAGTAGATGCGCACCGCGCGCGACCGAGCCTTTCCCTCCTACCTTGGTCCTGGTTAAATGTTGAATTTTTGAAGATCTTGACGAGCAGGCAAAAACAATACCGTCGAAAACAAGATTTATGGCTCAGGCCCGAGTCGAACGGGCGGGGTCTGCGTAAGGAGAACCCTTTATTCTATTCATGAAGGGCAGATGCGCACCGCGCGCTACCGAGCCTTTCTACCCTCCTTGGGTTCTTGGTAAGGTGTTGAATTTCTGAGGTGCGAGGGTAAAAAGAATGCGACAAAGACACACGTCATCGCTCGGGCCCGAGTCGAACGGGCGGGGGTCTGCAGCATATTGATAGAAGTGGCAGACTGGATGCAGATGCGCGCCACGCGCTACCAAACCGTTCTCCCCTCCTTTGGACCTCAGTTGAATGTCGAATTTTTGAAGATCCTGACGAGGGCGGTAAAAAAAAGGTGGTTCGCAAGACAAATGGCTTGGGCCCGAGTCGAACGGGCGGGGTCTGCTTCAGTCCGATTTATGAGCCTCTATCAAAGGCAGATGCGCACCGCGTGCTACCGAGCCTTTCCTCCCTACTCCAGCCCTCAATTAACGGTTAAATTTTTGAGATGTGAGAGCAAAAAACAAAAGAATGCGACGAATATGCACCATGGCTCGGGCCGAGTCGAACGGGCAGGTCGGCAGCTGTAGTATTTTGGAAGGCAGATGCGCACCACGCGTGACCGAGCCTTTCCCTCCTACCTTGGTACCCAGGTGAGGTGTTGAAGTTTTGAAGATACTCACGGCGAGTGGCGCAAGAAAAAAGGTTAGACAAATTGTAGACAAATGCGTCATGGCTCGGGCCCGAGTCGAACGGGCGGATCTGCTGCAAGTTACCAGTGCTTGTCTATTGAGTAGATGCGCACCGAGCGCTACCGAGCCTTTCTACCCTCCTTGGGTTCTTGGTGAGGTGTTGAATTTCTGAGGTGCGAGGGTAAAAAAAATGGCATCCGGAAATATCTATCTCTCGGGCTCGTCTTCCGTGTGCTCTTGAGCAAATTTCTCATCCCACTATTTTTAGAACCAGCTCATCCGCTTTTAGACATGCATCAATAATTCTTTTATGGCGCCTCGTTCATGTATGGGAGATCCAGACTGTTCAATGCATCATTCGATGTGTATTCCTAGCCTTAGGCGCACATAATTCGTGAACTCTCCTGAGCCGCTGTCAGTTTTTTTCGAGCATGCGAACAACTGAGCCGAATTGTCGTCTGGTCCAGTCATTCACTTTCTTATTGCTCCTGTGTTCTATGTCCACATTTTCGCCATCGCGCACATTCTTTCCCTTTCCTTCGTACAGACAAGCCCGATGATGCAGTCATTGTTCGGGATACTAAGTGCGATCTCGACAAACCGGCGGACCCTCCTCTAGCCGCGAGGCTTCGTGCGCTGGTGATGCTAACCTCGACATCCATATCGATATTGTACATGTCACGTATGCCAACTCAGTCAAATGTCCGCGATGAGCTCTATTTCCTTTGCGTTCTCGAAATTGCCCATCCCACTATGCTTAGACCCAACTCAACCGGTTTTAGACGTTCTTCCATATTGTGTGATCTACGTGAGGGTTACGGCACACTGTATCATTCGGCCCACCTAGCACCAGTACTGCCATATAATGAACTGTAGGGAACACAACACTTTGAAACAAATGATGTTATCGTCCTGGTTTTCCATAGTTCTGAGACTGAGAAAATTAATCTTCAAGGAATTTTTACGTCGTGGTGGAGCGAATGTGGAATCCGATCCACATTTCAGTCGACTTTCGTCGGGGCCTGTGCGCAGAATACGAGGTTCATTGAATATTGGCGTGGAGGGGAATGCACTTGGGTTATCAGGCCCTTCTCACCCAGTTCCGTCCAGTCTTATGAGAACCCTGAGTGGGGAGCGCTCAGCCTTCCGCCAATTGTGACAACTACGACTCATTCTTTAGAGCGCAAAAATACGAGGTTCATTGAATATTGGCGTGGAGGGGAATGCACTTGGGTTATCAGGCCCTTCTCACCCAGTTCCGTCCAGCCTTATGAGAACCCTGAGTGGGCTCAAATTTGAACGCTCAGCCTTCCACCAATTGTGACAACTACGACTCATTATTTACAGTGCAAAATGAGTGCCAGTGTTACCTTCTTAGTGGGTTAAAAAAGTGTTTGGCTCTAGAACCATGGCTCAGGCCCGAGTCGAACGGGCAGATTCTGCTGCAGTTATCAAGAAACGTTATTAGAAGCAGATGCGCACCGCGCACTACCGAGCATTCTCTCTTCCTTGCGTCCTCAGTTGAAGTTGAAGGTTGAATTTTGAAAAACTCGCGAGCAGCCCAAAAAAAGCGGGACGAGAAGAGGTATTTATGGCTCGGGCCCGAGTCGAACGGGAAAATCCACAATTCCTTCCCCCAAGTATCATCGAGCACAGACGCGCACCCACGCGCTGCCGAACCTGGCCCTCTTATTCTGGTCCTCAATTAAATGCTTAATTTCAGACGAAGATGTAACTCACAACGAGAGGGCAAAAAAGTGCTGGACGTCATGGCTCGGGCCCGAGTCAAACGGGGATACCACTTGAACGCTGCTTGGAAAAGTGAATGGAGAGCAGAGGTGTATCGCGCGCGACGAGCCTTACCTCCCTTACCTCCACCCTCCATAATGTGGAATCTCGGGAAGATGCGCATCGGCACTAGCAGAGAAAGAAAAAGCGTATGGTTCCGGCGTTATGGTTCAGGCCTGAGTCGAACGGGCGGGGTCTGCAGCGTCCAGTCAGCTCTGTCTATTTGATTGAATGCAGATGCGCACCGCGTGCTTCCGAACTCTCCTCCCGTTCTTCAGTACTTGGTTGAATATTGAATTTTGGCCCTGGACACTGAGGGGTGGAGCAAAAAAAGTTCGAAACTTGGCTATAGGATGCAAATGCGCCCCGCACGCGACAGAACCTTTCGTACCGACTTGGGGCCTGCAGTAGGTGTTGAATTTTCTCGTGAGAAAATGGAAACTCACGAGCCCAAAAAACAAAACGGCCATGGAAGCAGCATATGGCTCGATCCCAAGTCGAACGGGCATATCTGCAGTAAATGCAGTCGCTGGAAATGGAACGCAGATGAATGGCTCGGGCGGCATCTGCATGAATGAGAGGATTCATCACTGATCGAATGCAGACGCGCACCACGCGCTACCGAGCCTTTCCTCCTTACTTTTATTCTTGGTGAGCTGTTGAATCTTTTAGAAGACTTGCCAGTCAGGACAGGTTCAGATCGAGCTCAAAATTATTCGGGAGGAGTTTTAGTAATCCTTTCCCGGGTGAAGAGCGTGGTGAGCAAACATCGGATTGTCAGTGGGGTTTTAAAAAGGTGTCCGCCTCCATGGCTCGGGTCCGAGTCGAACGGGTAGGTCTGCAGGAATATACAAGAGATGTGGTGCAGGTGCGCACCATGCGCTAACGAACCTTTCTCGAGTCCCCTCCTTATACGGAAACTGGGACAAAAGCGGGGATACTATTCTCCGTTTTTGCCGGCAGAACCACCTACATTTTATAGTACAGTACATTGGGCCAATTTGGAGACAAGCAGAATAATAAGCAAATGAAACTATTTCGAGGTATCGCCGGGACATGGTTCCTTGTAGGTAGGTAGGCAGGTAGTATTAAACTGAAGATGGTCGCGAACACAGAGAATATTTGGATAAATAACACCGAAATAATATTAATATATCAAAGCTGTGTCAAAGCCGCCGCCTGGAAAGTGCGGATTGAATGGGCACTGGCAGGGTTTGGCGGGTGTGGGTGTTGGAACGGACGGAGGCGAGGTAGAATTGGGTCAAATTGAGGGGCAAGGGACCAGGGCAAGCGCTAGCACGCTGTTGGCTACCCGCGACGCGACAGTGGTCTGGAACAGACACGGGCACTTGTTTGTCTCGGACAGCTGAGGCGATGTCGGACCAGTCGGCATCAGATTCAGACTAGTCGGATTCCGTGTACGCTGCTCTTCTGGAACAGGGACTCTTCAGTTATTGAGGGCAGATGCATACCCCGCGCTACCGAGTCTTTCCCTCCTACCTTGTGACTCCGGTGAGGTGCTGAATTTTTGAACATACTCACGGCGAGTGGAGCCAAAAATGGTATGAGATACAGCGGCATGGCTCGGGCCCGAGTCAAACAGGCGTGGTCTGCTTCAGTCCGATTTGGCAACCTTCTATCGAATGCAGATGCGCACCGCGCGTGACCGAGCCTTTCCCTCTTACCTTGATCCATGGTTAACGGTTGAATTTTCGGCGAAGATGTAACTCACGAGGAGAGCATTAAAAAAATCCAGGAAAAGGAAAGATGATGGCTCGGGCCCGAGTCGAACGGGCGGGGTCTGTAACAATTTGTGGATGAACGTACATTGAACGCAGATGCGCACCGCGCGCTACCGAGCCTTCTCCTCCTACCTTGGCACTCGGTGAGGTTTTGGATTTTAGGAGAACATGTGTACTCACGAGGATCCGGATGAGCCCCCCAAAAGACTTAGACGAATATGTCGTGGCTCGAGCCCGAGTCGAACGGGCGAGGTCTGCGGCAAGTCTGACAACACAACGAGAGGTCTTATTAGAAGCAGATACGCACCGCGTGCTACCGAGCCTTTCTCTCCTCCATTGGTACCCCGGTGAGGTGTTGAATTTATGGAGATCTTGACGAGCAGGCCAAAAAAAAAAAACAGAACGAATAAGCTAAGCTATGGCTCGGTATATACGTGTGAACGATTGTCTTCACAAAAGTATAGAAAGTCTGCTTGCGAAACTATGGCTCGGGCCCGAGTCGAACGGGCGGGGTCTGCTTCAGTCCAATATCGCAACCAAGCCCTCTATCGACGGCAGATGCGCACCGTGTGCCACCGAGCCCATCCTCTCTACCCCAGCCCTCAATTAACAGTTGAATTTCTGAGGTGTGAGGGTAAAAAAGAACTGGGAAATAGTTCATGGCTCGGGCCCGAGTCGAACGGGCGAGGTCTACTGCAAGCTACTCTCCTACTTGTATATTGAACGCAGATGCGCGCCGCGCACTACCAAGCCTTTCTTCCCTACTCCAGCCCTCAATTAACAGTTGAATTTCTGAGGTTGTGAGGGTAAAAAAAAATGCAGGAAGCAGCATCGATGGCTCGGGCCCGAGTTGAACGGGCGGGGCCTGCTGGAGCCAACATCAAATGTAATTAGAAATTTAAACAGGTGCGCACCGCGCGCTACCGAGCCTTTCCCTCCTACCTCGGTACTCGGTGAGGTGTTGGATTTCTTTTTTATGACAAGCAAAGACGAGGCGCCGATGTATTTTCGACACTCCTTTAAATATTGTTTTTGAGTGATACCCGCCGTTATCATATGCATCTTGGGTATCATTCATCCAAAAGACATGTACTTGATCCACTGTTTCGTCGGCGTGGAGTCGTGTGGAATATGTTTTAGATAGAGTTGATTTGGAGTTGATAGAGTATGGATGGATGATATGATTGGATGCGAGCGGCCGCGTGGAAGTTCTATTTAGAACCTCCGATCTGTACCTGTTAGAGTTTTTAAAAAACAATGAAAGGGAAAATGCGTCCAGCAGTTCCAAGTACCAATACGAGCACCCCTCGTACCCGGAGAACTCTGTCAGTGTCACCATTGAACCTCCAACGACAAAACGGAAGGAAGCGCAGTCTAGACCGGCCCGTTAATTTAATTGTGCGGCGTTGCCAGGCCCGTCGGTGGCACGTTGGCGACGCGCCGGCAATCGAGTCGGTGACGCCAGTTAGGGCTTCCACCCGTGACCGTCGAGACGGTTCGACGGCACCCGTCGAACGGGTGCCGTGCCCGTTCCGTCGACCATTTTGAAACTTGATCGACGGCACGGTCACGGCACGGGTGTGAGCCGTTTTTTTGCCGTCGAAAAACGGCCGTCACGGCCGTTCGACGGGTGCCCGCAAACTTGTTTTTTTTTTCAGTTGTTTCAGCCTCCAAAGTGGTAAATATGGTGTGCGAAACAACCCACACTTATATTCAATCTTTCTTGAACATTTGTGATCCGCCGTGGTGGCTTATGCTGAAGGAATCTCAACCCGGGCAATGCCGAAACGGCATTTCCCCTTCCGGAATTGACCCGAACTCAGAGTCTGTGAAAACTTGCTGGTGTCAAATCCCGCTTTTCAGAGACAGTTGAGTGGCTCCAGGTTATCCAAAGCCTTAACTTTGTTGTCTGCAGGTTCTTCAGCTTGGTTTGGCATGCAAGGTGTTTCGCATGTTCAACTTGCAATGAAGCAACGATGCGCACTTACCACAGGGTTTGAACTTTGACAGCAATCTGCGGCAATATTACTTCGACTTTCGACCCAAAATTCAATGTTACGTCGCCCGTTAATAGCCGTGGTACCGTCAACGGCCGTGCCGTTGACCGTGCCGTCCCGTCAAGATTTTTTTCAACTTCTCGACGGGCCGTCTCGAGACGGCCCGTGCCCGTCGAATACCCGTCAATTCGACGGCCGTTGCCGTCGCGGCAACGGGTGGAAGCCCTAACGCCAGTGATCTTCTCCCGATTAAGAAGCGATTGGCGCCCGTTGTGCGGCGCTGACAAAGCCGTGGTGTTGCCCTTCCTTTGCTGCTATGATGGTGGTTGGCCGGCAAGCGGCGGGGCACAAACAGAATGTAGCTGAAAAAATTAAGTGAGAAGAGGGACTTGGAACTGGAACTGGAACTGGAATTCTATTGTGTTGCTGTACCTGGCCGTAATGGCTACGCAGCAGTACCCAGGTAAAACTACCTAGTGAGTGGGTGTAAGGCTAATCTACTGGGATTTAATATGAGGGACCGTATATGAGGGAAAGCCAGAGAAAAATAAGTGGAGAACAAATGGGGAAACTTGTGGTTGTAAGTAAGCCGGAACTGGTGAATTCGAGAGACGTGCGATGATATTTGGGAGGTGCGGGTGGTGTTTGAGATGAGATGAGGTTAATTATGAGGGAATGTAAAGTAAATATACGTAAGAATGAAAGAAAGAAAAATACGAGAGAGATCAGAGTAGAGGACTCAACAGAATCTGCGTGTTTGTGTGATGAAGTTGATAACGGGTTTGAGGAGCTTCGGGTGGTTCAACAGAGTGCGCACATCTACAGCGCCTAGGATCCCAGCGCTGAATGAGGCGAACTGAAGAGGGGCGCGCAGGTGCTCCCATGCCGGGCAGTGTAGAAGGAAGTGGGCACGGGTCTCCTTGGGTGCGCCACATGCATCACAGGCAGGAGATGGGGTAAGGCGGCATCGGAATTTGTGCGCGTTAAGCGCAGAGAAGTCGGTGCGGAGTTGTGAGAGAATGGAGATATCGGCACGAGCAGCGGAAGATAGATACGGAGATCGAAGGATGAGGGAGGGTGGCGTGTCATCAATCTCTCGGAGACCTCGTCCGGGCGTAGCGACTTTCCATGCATCCCTCCAGCGCTCAAGGATCATGATGTTGACCCTCCGTTTGCATGTGGTGAGCGAAATGGGGACGGAGCTTGGAGGGGGGAGGAGAGTAGCCGCTTTGGCCGCATCATCAGCAAGCTCGTTACCCGTGGTGCCAATATGGGCAGGTGTCCAGAGGTTGGTGATCCTGAGCCCTGGAGACCTCTCCATCGCATTGCGGACGAGTTTGTCGTACAAGATGGAGCGGAACTGGCCAGCACGCGGAGAGGTGGAGAGCACAGCCTTCAATCCGGCCTGGGAGTCCGATACGATGAGGATGTGTACCGCGCCAAGAGCTAGAGCCCGTTCCGAACACCCTAAATCCGAGCTTATTCATCACTCGCCAGGGCGCACAGATCTCTCCTCCTACCACATTCCTTTCGACGGAGTTATTATTCGTCCCTCGAACAGGGTGAAGTGGATCGGAGTATGGCTCGACTCAAAACTCACAGGGGAGGTCCACATTAAATCCAGGGCCGCATCAGCAGCAAGAGCACTTAACGCATCGCTTGCGCTCACACATGCGGTCTGGGGCTTGAAGCCGCTGATGATTCGTGACTTGGCACGTGCGGTCGTGCTCCCGAGAGCCGACTATGGCGTGAGCTCCTTCTTCCCGCTTCCAGCTGCAGCCCTCAAGCCCCTCGAGCGTGTCAACAAGTCTATTGCACGCTGCATTACTGTTGGGTATCGTACAGCCTCTCTCGCCGCTCTCGAGAAGGAGGCAGCGCTTCTCCCGGTCTCTCTGCGTCTGGAACGTTCTTTGCTTCATCGCCTGGCAAGCTACCTCTGCCTACCACCAACGCACGGTATTGTACCGCTTGTTCAAGACGCTATTTGCCACGCCCCGAAACACGCCCATCGCGCGTCGGCCCTTCACTACATCGAGCGCCTTCCCGCCGTCCGCTGGCCCGATGCAGTCCCACCCCGCGGGGCTCGAATACGCGCTCGAAAAAGTCGCCTCCCCAAAGATGTTACGATGGGTACGCGCGCAGGCCACAATGGTAGCGGCGTCCGTGGAAAGCGAGGGGGGGCAGTCACGGAGCACTATGCTCTTGGTCTGTCTCCGCCTCTTGGAGACAGGCAAGTGCCCATGACTGCTCCCCCCGTAACATCTGATGCAGTGTTCCCCTTCCAGAGCCTGTCCCCTACTTCTGATTTCATCTGCTTGGTTCCTGAACCGTTCACTGCGGACGCCGACCTTACTCTGGGACTAGAACGTATTATCCCAGTCTACGCACCTCCTTGGGCTGAACCTCTGCCGGTAAATACTGTGATCCCTACAAAAGAGCGCGCAGTTGCAACCTTGAAGGAATTCTTGGCGGACGACCGCTTCGACCGCGCGACTTGGTACACTGACGGGTCTCTTCTCTCGGGCTTGGCTGGAGGTGCGGCGGTCCTGTTCGTTAACGGAAAGGTTCTCGAGAGAATTCTGCTACCGCTCGGTGAGGGACAGGTAGCGGAAGGAGAGATTGAAGGCTTGTTACGCGCGACGGAACGGGCTCTAGCTCTTGGCACGGTACACATCCTCATCGTATCGGACTCCCAGGCCGGATTGAAGGCTGTGCTCTCCACCTCTCCGCGTGCTGGCCAGTTCCGCTCCATCTTGTACGACAAACTCGTCCGCAATGCGATGGAGAGGTCTCCAGGGCTCAGGATCACCAACCTCTGGACACCTGCCCATATTGGCACCACGGGTAACGAGCTTGCTGATGATGCGGCCAAAGCGGCTACTCTCCTCCCCCCTCCAAGCTCCGTCCCCATTTCGCTCACCACATGCAAACGGAGGGTCAACATCATGATCCTTGAGCGCTGGAGGGATGCATGGAAAGTCGCTACGCCCGGACGAGGTCTCCGAGAGATTGATGACACGCCACCCTCCCTCATCCTTCGATCTCCGTATCTATCTTCCGCTGCTCGTGCCGATTATTTTTACTTTTTCAGTGTAGGAAGCTGAACAATTAAATGTGAATCGGTGAGACGGTGATAAACAGCACTTTAGGACTCAATGTGGTGCAAATGTGATTTCGAGGGTAATATAAGTAATGAACCGTGGTGTAAATCCCAGAATCCACAGCCAATTGGTTTCCAAGATCTTTCCCAACATCAATTGGTCGTATGTTGACTCAGTGACTCTTGAGCAACTAGAGTTGATTGATGAGGCATTGTAACAATACAGGTTTTTATTTCAATGCATTGGGTACTATCAATGAGGACAAACACGAAAAAGAACAAAAAAAGGGAAGGAGGGAGGGAGACTTCAAGAGAACTTATATCAGTCACAGAAATTCACATTCAGCATCAATAATATGGAAGCTACGATACATCCCAGATATGTATACTCAGAAGGCAAAGCGGCTTGCAATCAGTATTAAAAATTGACAGGCTTGAAACAGCGGCCAAATGCCTTCACCTGACTGTCAAGTCATTACTTGCACGGACCAGGTGGTAACACGAGCGCATCGCCTGTTACTGGCATACATCGCGTCAGGAGCCTGTGTTTGTCGTAGTCAAGACAATGCACACCCACAGGAGATTCTGTGGAGTCGAAAGACAAAGAATCATGGGAGGGGATATATTATTTCTCTCCCTGTGGTTCTGTAAATTCACGGTGTTGTTGGTGAACATCTAACAAACAAAATCCCAAGATGTACGATGTTAGCAAAACCAGATGCACGCAAAGGAGATGGACACACGCACGGCGAAGTGATGGAATCGTCTAGGCCCTGGGTACTGATTGGATGACCTGCAGGTGATATTGCTGTTCCAGTTGTTCGCAAGATTGG